GCCGTAAGAAAGATTTGTTTTTCATTCCGTTATCTTCAAGCAGAGACTGTAATTATGTTATTTTTGGGCTCACAGCCAGTCTGAGCTGAGAACTGATAAAGAGAGTTCCTTTTAAGTTGTTTGCCTGTCGTCTGTTTAACGAGAAGTGGGGACAGAACACCTAGGGAAGATATTTTCCAGTACCACTTTAGGAGTTTCTTCTTTAAATTAGCTTTTAGATGATTTAGCTTTCTCCTATTAGAGAAAGTAAAAAATTGTTCTAAGTCACTTTAATGTAAAATAAGTGTAACAGAGAAATAAATGGAACCAGTGCCACTTACATGCAAGGAATCCATAGTCTGGCGGTTCGATCTTCAGAAGCGGACGCCAACAGGTATCCATCTGGTGAAAACTGTACACTAGTTACGGGTTCTAAATGACCCACAAATCTGAAGGCTTTTGTATTTGGCCTCAAATTCCATATCATGAGAAATCTGTCCAGAGAAGAGCTGGCTGAAAAGAAGAAATTATAAAGCTATAAAACAAAAAATGAATTGATGTAGAAATATGACATATCAGCACATCAATTGTTATTTTTACACTTAAGTCTACTTATTTCCAGACTGAGAACAGATTGTCTTCTCTGAAACTACTAGATTCTTAAATGAACTTGCCTAGAAACATCCCACATTATTTTTAGGGCATAAAGTTCTTCCATTATTTATAATACTTTTGATTTTATTATTTTTTGTATACACAATATATTTAGTTATTAGTTATAAAGCCTCACAAAGGACCAGCAGCTGTCTCTGCTGGGGACACCTTATCAGTAGCATGGGGGGGTGGAAGATAGCAAAAGTGACTGGGGTCATCGGGGGAGTTGCAGGAGGAGGTTGTGAGTGAAGGAGGGCCAAAAGGTCAAATGGGGGAAATAATTAAGAATGAGAAGTGGAGGCATGTATAGCAGAGAAGAAGAAGCATGAGGTCTTCGCTTAGTGACTGCAACTGGGTTTAGGATGTTTAGACACGGACGCTTGGCCACGCCTCCTTCACCACCACTCACCTGCCTCAGTCCATTTACAGCCAGCTTTCCTCCTCCACTGGTCCTCCCCCGGTCATTCCCCATGTTTGAGCAAATGGGAAGAGATAAAGGACCAGGGGATCATGGCAAGCGCCCCTGATCCTTTGTCCCTTCCCATTTGCTCAAACACCATTTGACCTGGGTCTGTGCAACCCCTCCAGCCCTCCCGCAATGCCAGGAGCAGCACCAGCCTTGCTGTTCGCCTGTGTGACCTCCCAGCCCCCCTTGCTCCTCCTCCCCTCTTTCGTTGGAGCTGACTGAGTTGCGAGCCAAGCTGACTTTGTGTAGCCCCCCTTGAGAATCCTTCCGTCAGCGTTCTGATGATGCCCTAATTAAATGAGTCTCGAGCCAAGCTTCAAAAGAAATTAATTAGGAGCCTCATGTCGGCACATTACAAGTGAAGCCAACTTTGACCTCACTTAATTCATGCCCCGGCTCCTGTTTCCCCCTCCCTCCCAATGTGTGTCATTACTCACATTCCCCAATGATGCAATTTCGTGGGTTGTAGCGTTTCTCCCTCTAGCCACTGTGGGTATCCTGGAGATGGCCTTGACATAGAGATGGCTGTAATGTGCTTTTGTTTTGATTGAAGCGCGATTACCTCGCTGCAGCTGTGGTTCCCAATCCCCCTGCCTATGGCAACTCGAGAGCAGGTCAGGAATGCTTTGTGAGTTGACATCCTCCCTTTCCTGTTCCCAAAATACTTTCGCCTGTCTCCCCTCCCCTATGGCCCTGGTGGCTGTTACTCCAGTCCTTGTGATTTCTTGCAGAGCAGCTGCAGTATTTTTTTAAAAAAATCTTGTACTGCACACTGCCCCATAGCACCATTGCTTTTGCCTGCCACCCAATTGGCTGGGGGGGGTTTGTTCCCTGCAGCCA